CCCCTAGGGTGGCTTCGCCTCCCCGGGGCTCGCCCTATCACCAAAGCCGCGGCACTATTTTATTGCTTCCGACGCCTTTGCCCATGTTTAACCTAAGTGACAGCGTCAAATGAAGTACAGATGGTAAGGTAGGATTAACAGGATTTGAGAAAACATCCCTGAGTAACTGGTCAAGAAAAATTTCTGATAACCTTGGCACTATTACTTTAGTTTATTAGGAATTTCTTGGTCTTGGCAGCAAACATTTACTGTCAACATTGAAAGCAGGCAGCATACTGACCCTTGTAGGTAGCAAAACTGTTGCTTGCTGCCCTTAATTTCGAACCCCGAGATGAGTTGGTCATATATCACAGAGTACATAAGAATCGAATCTATGGTCTAAATTATTATTATCGTCACATCCCTAAAATGTTCAAATAGAAAGAGTAATAATTACCAGTTTAAAAAATTAATAATTTAGCATTGTATACTATCAGGAGCGTATAATGACAAATTTGTCATTATATTTGTCATTATACGCTCCTGATACGCTTCCTCCAAATTTGTCATTATACGCTCCTGATACTATTGATGTGTCTCTTTCCAGAACAATCATGAATGTTGGATCACCATTATTAAGTGATGGAAAGCTGCCAGTTTTCTTATTCCCAACATCATTGAGTTTCTTTGAGGATGATCAAAGTTCCCATAAGCAAGTGTTGACTATATACAACCCATATGAATTTGCTCTCAGGTTTAGAGGTTAGTGAAGTATTTAAACATTAAACATTTTTTTATTTAGATTATAGTCATTGTAATTAGGTTGACATTTTTGGAAAATTGATAGCATATGATAAATATGACATAGTAAGAAGTAGGACATAATGGTCAATGGTGGTTATGGGTTATGATATAGGTGTTATTAACATGTAACTAATGATTTGGCATTGTTGTGTTATATTTTTACAGTACTCTCAACTGCACCAAGTAAATACCTAGTAGCTGATTCTGAGGGAACGATAAAGCCACAATGCTGTATTGACATGTAAGTGTTTGTTTTTTACTTTGTAATACTGTATTTATACAGGGCTCGACTTTAACGGTGGCCCGGGTGCCAATGGCCACTTGAAACGGCGTCGGGCCACCTGAAACTGTCGGGTTGGTGGCCCGCCTGGCCACCAATAAAAATAAGGCCGTGGCTACGCGACCGGTTCCGGACGAGGAGCCACTAGGCTACGCGTCCGGACATCCATCTCACATAGAGATCTTGCGACACGTACACGCATGATTGCGCAAGGGGACGCTCTGCTGATTGCCGAGTGTGTGTGTGTGTGTGTGTGTGTGCGCGTGCGCGCGTGTGCGTGTGCCCGTGCGCGTGTGTGCCCGTGCGCGTGCGCGTGCGCGTGTGTGTGTACTGTGTACGTGTGGTTTACTGGAAGCAGATTCTGAGAATGTGAATCGCAACAAAAAACAATGCTTTACTTCAATGGCCTAAATCAAAACATTAGTGCACGTGCAATCCATTCGCTACCCATCAGCTGTGTGTGTTCGTTGCGCAATTCATTTCTCTACGAGTTCAAGACAACTAGTGCGTACATACCAGAGTGTATGTATAGAGAGGGGTGTAGGGATGATTACACTGTTGCGACAGGGAGGGTGTAGGGATGATACACTGTAGCGACAGGGAGGATGTAGGGATGTGCAAAAGAGACCAGCAGCTGAGCCAGACTCTGATGGGTCTGACCCCATGTCAGAAATTGATTCTGATTCATCAGAAGGTTCAGATGACAGTCACACTGACATTGAATGATTGACATTAAATGACAGTTTTGATTGACATCTTAATGACATGAGTTCTGCTACTTAATAAAGATACTGGCAGAGGATTTGAAAGCTTTTTAATATTTGACTCAGTCAGGGTTTTGTTCTTTCTTTGTTGTTGTCGTAATCTAGTTATGTAATTGCGATTATTTGCCAAAAGACATTACCCATAGTTAGGATACAAATAAATTATTTAATAAATGTAGCAATCGGGCCACCTGAAAATCCATTTGGCCACCTGAATCTCATAC